AAACTATGTAGCAAACCATGTAGCTTGACCTATAAAGCCTGTGGTTAGAGGTCAGTAGTCTTAAGAGAAATGAGTTTTTTAAGTGACAGAAGGTCTCCATATTTTGAAGTGGAACTGGTAAAAGAAACACAGAACTAGCAGGTCAAGTCAAAACTGGCCTCGTGCTCTGACGCAGTCCGAAAGGGCACAAAGATGTGCCGAAGTGAGAGTTCAAGAGAAGTATAATGTGAAAAAGATGAGGCACAACCACCAGGTGGTCATGAACAAGTACCTGAAGGGACCACTGACTCAAAATGGGATTCCTGTCAAAGGGAGGGACAGGATTAGGTAATGTTGGAGTTGTTAATCAGGTAACTGAATGAAGGCAGGAGGCTTTTCTAACTCAGGTCTGCACAGTTTAGAGAAAATATTCTCTTGTGCATCCAGCACGCTGAATTAAAATAAAAGAATGCTTTGCTTCCTAAAACTCAAAAAAGGGTCTTAGTTTCTTTATACACAGTTTTCAGTCAACAGGAGCACCAGAAGGAGGCATTAAGGGTTGCTTCCTTGATGCTGACAGCTCTGCTGTAGGGAACAGGCCTGTCTGCTGACCTGTTGCCTGGGGGACTTTGCTGCTTTTGAGGGTCTGTGATTTACAATAGCATGAAATGCCTGCAGAGGCACCTCTGGCTATCTGATTATTGATCCCTGCTGCTTTTTCATGTAATCATCAAATGCTCTCCAATTACTGGAGAGACCTGCATAGCATCAAGCATGATACAGCTCTGGATTGATGGTCAGGGGCATAAGGGCCCATCTGGTGTGTCCCTAGTCCTGCTGGTCAACTGTTGGGGTTTTAGTTCCTATGAACATGGGATGCTCTTTGATGAGTGTCTGTCACTTGGAAGAGCTGGGATACACTGGACTAAGATAGGAGAGCATATTTGCCAACAGGATTGCTCAGTCTGGTAGGAAGAGCTTTAAACTGAGAATGATGGGGCAAGAAAGGATGACAATCAAATGAAGAAGTTGTGGATGAGGTTATCAAGCAAAAGATGAGGGCTTGTGCAAACAGAGGGGACTTTATCATCAACTTGGGTGTCACTGAAGTACATGCATATAAGCACAAGCTTCAGAAAGGACTCCCTTGATTTTTAAACACTTCAAGGAGGGGTCTAGGTGTGCCTGGATCTATTCCAACCCCAAATGTGATAAGTCTAATTGATTCTGTATGCAACTTTGTTCTGCAGGATTAAATATGGCAAATGAAATATGTTAACATGAATACAATATGTGTTTTAATTGTAGTGATGCCAGTGATTATTAAAAAGGAAAACATCATAAGCAGAATTCTCTACTACACTATATAGATAGTTATAACTAATTACAGTGCACTACTTATGAAAACAGTAGTTTTAAAGCTGTCTTAAGAATTATCAAGTGGATTGATGTTACTCACCCACGCTGATGACTGTGGGCAAATATTTTTGCTCATACTCAGAGTTACCTTGAAGTGTATCCCTCCTTAAGGGAGCAATCTCCACACATAATCCTAGAAGTCCTCCCTGCTGGAAAATGGGACCATGCTTTTATAGTACAAAGTCATTTGTTGTCAGTCATGTGTTGCTAGGTTAGCCATGGTCATGTCAACTCAAGAGAACGTGCTTTATTTTTAAATAAGATATTGTCACTTGTTTGTTTTTCTCATTCTGTAAACATCCATCTTTCACATCCTTTTCAGTGGCAGTCTTTGTCAGGAATCGTCTGTCTTTCATATCCCTGTGATGGGATTAATTTAGGATTGTTGGTAAGGCTGGTTTCAGCATTCTTCACCACTGAAGAGTGATTTTACTGGAAGTGAACTCCACTGAAATGGACTTTAGGATCTTGAAAGGAGGGTAGAAGATGAAAGCCAGGACTACTGTCATGGCCTTCAAGAGGCCAGACTTCAGCCTGTTCAAGGATCTACTTGTGTGAATCCACTAAATATGATCCTGAAAAGAAGACAGATCCAGAAGAGCTGACTGTTTTTTGGGTTTTCTGGGGTTTTTTACCCCACAAAGAATCACTTTCTACAAGGTCCATTCTGGTGTGCAGGACAACCTGTAAAGATGGCAGGAGGGCTTGCATGGATGTGCAAAGAGAGCCTGACTGAACTCAAGCATGGAAAGGAAGTATGCAGGAGGTGGACACAAGCACAGGTGACCCAAAAGGAATAGGGCCACTGTGCAAGGATGGGGGTTAGGAACGCCAAATCCATCTGGAGTTGAATCTGGTAAAGAGATGTGAAAAACAAGCAATGCTTCTACAATAGGAAATGTGGACCCACTCCTGAATGAGGCTGGGACATGGTGAAAAAGAATGCTGCAGTGGGCCAACACAGAAGGTATTGTAAAGAAGAGGCTTTCAAGAGATCTTAGGCAGAATTTAACTAGGTTTTGATTGTAGGGTTGCGTGTGTGTTAGCATGAGGAACTGCTGAACTTGAGTATACAATGTGTTGCCACTAACAATGCGATCTGTGTGTACTCTTTGTAATGTAAGGGCCTGTTCCCACGGGAATGTGTAAAAGTGTAACACTTCCAGCAAACCTCAGTGTACCCTCTGGAACATTCAGTATTGTACAATAAGAGACTGATGGATTTGTTTTACTTGGATGAATACTGTGAAGATATGATGAACAATGAGGCTATTGAACCTCCCCACAAAGAATTCTGCACAGCAGTGGCTCTACCAGAGAGAACTGTCCAGGTCTGCATCCTTGCATGTTTCCCAGCATTGGAAGAGACATGTAAGACTTTCCACTGTAACTTTAAAAGCACCTTTTTCTCTTAAGCATCTTGTGGGGTTTTTTTACTTTTTGTTTTGTTTTGGTTTGTTTGTTTGTTTGTTTTTGGTTAGTGGTTTGTGGGTTTTTTGGTTTTTTTTGGTTTTTGGGGTTTTTTTTGAGATACAGCAGAACCAGAACTTCACACTACTAAGCAGACATAGAAAGGTTGAGGTCCTAAATGACTTATTTGCCTTGCCAGTCTACATAGAACAGTTTGGAGTGAAAGGAACCTTTAAAGGTCATCTAGTTCAACCTCTCTGCAATAACTAGGGATGTGTTCAACTAGATCAGGTTGCTATTGAAATCAATCAGGTTTCTATCTAGCCCAGTATGGGACTGGATAACTGTATAGTGAGGTAGATTGGAAACAGCCTCAGCTTCCGAGTTCAAAGGATCAGCAGCACAAAGACAAGCTGGAGACCAGCCCCTTGTGGTCAATACTAAGGTCATACCACTGAACATCTTCATTACATGACACAGGGCAAAGTGCATTCTCAGAAGTTTACAGATAATTCAAAACTGGGAATAGTGGTTGATGTACCTCATGTCCCTTTGCACACAGACATCTGCCAGGTTGGGGAAATCAGCAGATAGGAACCTAGAGATGTTCAGCCAGCTGCTCTCCTGCACCTGGGAAGGAATAACCCCATATACCAGCACAAGCTGAGACCCTGACTCTTTGTGGACAGTCCATGTTCAAGTACCTCCTGAGTCACTGTTTATAGCCTGGTGTTTGTCAGTACAGCTTCTCACCATGTTAAGGCTGATGTGACTGAAGTCCTTTTTGCAGCTGCCTGCAGTCAAACCAGTGTAAGAGCAGCAAGTGTCTGCCCCCTGGGATAGCCTGATGCCAGTTGGAGGTACAGCCTGTGTGTGTTCTTCCTTGCCCTTGAGGGTGGCTTGTCACATGTGTGTGAAGTTTGGTGGTTCATGAGCTGCTTCAGAAGCAATCCCTGAGTTAAACAGCTAAAGGTTGTCAGTGGGCTAATAACTATTTCCAGCCCAGAAGCTGATGAATAGTAAGTACCCTTAGCATTGCCAAACTTGCTGATGGGAGAACGTGGTAAACTGAATCTTGTGGAAAAAATAGAAAGAGAATTGGTTGCTAATTAGCTGGGGGTGTGTGCTGTTTACATTTGTCACACAAGCACGCAGAATTTGTCAGTACCACACAGTTTGCTGCAGCTTTATCATGCCTCCTGACCCAAGGAAAGGGATCTCCAGGGGGGCCTGCCAGCAGTCCCCGCTCAACCCAGCACCACCAGCATAGAGGTTTCTGCCTTCCTGGTGCTAAAATGCTGCTCAAGGGAGCTTGGCTTTCTCCTGCATTTTTTTAGGGACAAAGACTTCTCCATGGTGGCCAAGGCCAGCCTGCTCCTGTAGTATTTCTGATGCTCAGGCTGCTCCAGGGCATCTTGCTTGTGCTGTCAAGAGGAAAGCCAAAATAAAGCTCACTCTAATGGCTTTGTGCACCTCCTGTGCTTGTTACAAAATTTACAGTTGGCCCATGATGACTGAATAGTATATTTCATTGTGTACATGGGATGTCCCAGCCAAACAGGGAGCATAGAAGCGATTTTTCTTTAGGGAGTTTTATAGCTTACACTTATAAGGGTATGATATGAATCATCCAATTACCTACTAATGCATATTTCTAATTATCCAATGACAAAGTATATGTTCTTGCAGCATCATCATCTGTTGCATCCTTATGGTTTATCTGTCAATCCAGACATTTCGGTTGTTGACTTCAACAAAGTTATCAGGCATCAGCAGCAACCTGTGTTTCTCTTAGATACGGATCCTTCAGTTAATTTCGTGAGAGCAGGGGTTTAGTCTCCTTAGTCCGCCGCTTGTCCTTTTTAGTAAGGGGTAGGGGAAGGGTCTTGGGTCTGAAGATAGCGACGAAGTACTAATAACGCTGCCGACTTCTGAGAGCTGTGTGGTCTCAATTTATGTCACACCCTCCAAGCAGAAATGTAAAAAAGAAAACCAAACCAACAAACAAAAACCCAAACCAACCCAACAAACAAACCCCAAAAAGCATAAAAAATAGAGCGAGCGATACAATGAGCTACAGGCAGCAGGCACTCCCGCCGGTTCCCGCCCGGCCCCTGAGGCGATGCCGAGGCGGGAGCAGGACTACATCTCCCGTCATGCCGCCTCACGGCGGGCGCCGCCGCCATCTCGGCACCGGCACCGTTGGGTCGGGGCGGTGTCCCCGCATTCCCCGCTCCCGGCCGCATTCCCCGCTCCCGGCCGCATTCCTCGGTCCCGGCCATGAGCCGCCTCAGCGGCGGCTGGGACGGCGCCGGCGAGGAAGTCCGGCTGCTCCTGGACCTGTGAGTGCCGCCCCGACGCCCTCCCGCCGCGCCCGCCTCGGGAGGAGGGCTGGGACGGGAGCGCAGTGAGGGGACAGGGTTTGACAGGCCTTGGGCGGCGGTGACGGCGAGTGTTGGTGCTGGCAGGGTTTGCAGAGTTCAGGAGCTGCGGGAGAGGTGACAGGGTTTGTCAGAGGTGACGAGGTTTGACGAGCTGGCAGGGTGGGTGATAGGGTTTGTCCGAGGTGACAGGGTTTGTTAGAGGTGAGCAGGAGCTACAGGAGAGGTGACAGGGTTTGGCAGAGTTCAGGAGCTACAGGAGAAGTGACAAGGCTTGGCAGATGTGACAGGGTTTGGGGTGGCAGGGTAGGTGACAAGGTTTGGCAGATGTTGACAAGGTTTGGGGTGGCAGGGTAGGTGACAGGGTTTGGCAGAAGTGGCCATTCGGGAGGAGTTACAGGACAAGTGACAGGGTTTGACAGGACCTGCAGGGCTCGGTGGGGGTGATGAGGTTTGGCAGGTAGGTACCAATATGCTCCCTGACAGATCTGGATGTGGAGAGATGGTTGAGGATCCCTGGCTTTGCCTGGCCCCAGTGAATGGTGTTTTGCTTTGAGGTTTTTCTTTATGTCAAAGTCCTTTGTGCTTAGAAGGGAGTTAGAGACAGTGTAGAGATAAAATATTTCATTTGACAGATAAAAGAAAAATAGCTGTCGAAGCGTACAGTTTATTCTTAAAAGCACTGAAGATAAGATTATAGTTGCCTTGGTGTATAGACAGTAAATATTTTATAGTTTCCTATAAAGTAGAATAACAGTGAAAACGTAATTTAAATGATTGTTTAAACTGCAGATCAGTGATGTACTCTGGGAATATCAACCAGCTCTTTGAAAAGAATGTGATTTATCTTAATAATCTTTTCATTCAAGCTGAATTTAATGTTCTGTGGCAAGAGACAGTTAAATGTAACAGGAAAACTTGGCATCGCTCACGTCGATTTCCGTGTATCTGCACTGGTTTTGGAGTATTTTCTGCTAATTTGAACTAAGTAGTTGGTCTAAATTTACAGGCCTCTTTTCAAACATGGCTGCATTAGCCATTTAATGTCTTTAAGAGAAAAAAATTAATCTGAAGCTTACATTAAGTTTTTAGAGATAACAGCTGTTTTAATGTGCTACAATATATGACGACAGTCTGCCTCCTTCAGGATGAATTGCCAGAAAAGTTCATTTATTCAGTGGCCAAAATGCAGGTGTCATATGATAAATATATATTTAGCACATAAATGAAGTGTGTGCCCTTGTGTGACAAAAGACTTCTGCTGCCCATTCACGTGACTCAATAGGCATCCCTCACAGAAGAGGGAACACTCACATGGTGGGTGCACATGTAGCCCCCCCAAAAGGCTCAAAGTCTGTTGGACTCACCCTAGCCAAAGGCAGGATGCTGTTTTGCAGCGAGGAGGTGCCGGTTCCTTTGGGATCTCAGTAGGAAAGGCATGGGTTCTCAAGGCTTGTTGACTGGTTTATTGCATGAGGAATAGTAGCACTGGTAAAGGTGACAGCAGTCTTATGTCCCTTCTGATGCTGAGGCCCCTGGCCGTCACAGTGTGAGACAACCCCTTCCCAGTGATCAGCACCTTGCACAGATCCTGCCTATGGGGAGGTTCACTTTTGTGGTCTTACAGCCTTGATAATATTTGTTTTTCTTAGAACAACTATTCTTCATTTCTGCAGTGAAGTTAAGGAATGTTGCATATAGATTACCTGGCTAATCTCTGTGTAAACAGAGAGTGTAGATGGTATAATCTACATATACTGAGTCAGAGCCTAGTACAGGCTTCTCCGTTGGTCAGGGAGCCAAGTTCATCCAGCAATCACTGAGGTTCCGGGAAGGCATTGCATTCTTGCACGCAGGACTGAGTTAAAGGTGGCCCTGGTGCATTCTTAATTTAGAATATTGCTCGTGTTGACATACAGGTCTCTGCACTCCAGGCCTGGGTTAAACTCTGCCCAGATTCTGTTTGAAATCACGTGCTCCTCCTTGAGTGTCTTCTGCAGTGACCTGCTAGAGATGCCCTTAATACACTATGCTACCTTTAGTGGGTCTTTTTTATGTGCTTCCACATTGGAAATCTTGCTTCCTTCCTTGTTTAAATCTGTGCTGTGCTTCAGATTACAGAGCCTTAATATTTTGACCTCTCTAGAGTTTTTAATTGGTATGAGTTTAATGTGCTGTGATTTGGTGGCATTCTGATGCCAGATAAGGTTTTGTTGCAAAACCAGTTGCCTGTAGGGACTCCAGAGCTGTGGTTTGATGCTAAATCAAATTTGGTGTAACTCTAGGTTGCTGCTGCCCCCTGTACTAGTTACTTGTCCTGGCAGTGTTGTTTCTGCATCCTCACAGTTTTGGTCAGAGGGTTTTTTGCATTCAGATCAGATGCTGAACAGCTCACACTGCAGCTGAGAGTTTGAGGGACAGCATGAGGAAGGCACAGTAAAAAGTGGTTGGAGAGTCAAGTGGGATATGGAAAAATAGCCTTTGCAACCTCTGAACTTTACATTTGGTTAGAGTGGTGTGTAGTGACCATATTATTGATATTTAAGGCAATGTATTATGCTACATGCTTAACCTCAGGTCTTAAACCTGGTAACTTCTGTTCACCTGTACTGTAGTGCTTGATACCATAAACAATTTCTATTTTTGATTGGTTACTGATCTTTTTTGCACTACTTCATTAATACTGCTGCAGTATATTATAATGTAATTATAATTATTAGTCCATATGACTACTACTCAAAACTAGTAATTACACAGCTTCTTAACAAATGTGTGTAATTTAGTGTATTGTTTCTTGTCTTAATGCTAGTCAGGTGATGGCCATCTGTTGATGCCAGACTGCACTTTAAGCTTCTTACTTAAGCTAGCCCTTAGGCTTATTGTTTAACTAGCAGAACTTACAAGAGAAATTAAACCCAAACCTATTAATGTGTGGAGTAGTCCTTTTAATAAGGTCATTATTTTTAAGATCTCCAAACAAAGTGCATTTATTAAGGTGTATCTGCTGCTTGTCTGGCACTTGATGGCCTTTGCCCCCTGCCCTAAAACAGTAATTAACACTCCATCAAGACCATCATATTGAAAATACTTAGAAACATTTTTTTCCAGGCTATATCTTATATTAGCTTCTCTTTCCTGAAGTTACTGCTCCCAAGATGAGAAATCACTAGCTTAGACAGGCAGTCCTAGCTGATGCAGTTTTAAGGCTGGCCTATGTCAAATCTGTACTTAGTTTACATAATTCTACTTGGCTAAAAACTGACAGTGCAGGAGTTGCTGGGCCTGACGAATAGTGGGTGCCTAGCAGCGACATCTCTCGCTGGGGAGGTGGAGAGGGCAGCTGGGGCAGATAAACAGCTTTAACTGCCATACTCTTGGGAGGCTGGTGTTAAAAATCTCTCAATCATGGCAAGTGTTTTAAGATGACTTCTCCATGCCCAGACATGAGATCAGAACAAAGGGAGTTTCTACCGTCAGACGTCAGACTCTCAGAACAACATAAATAAAAGATCAGACTTAAAGGTGTTTTAATTAGTTACTCCATGATGAAGAAAGCATGTTACACATGTAAATCATCACAAGAGTGTGTATTTAAGTATTGCTTAGGACTGCTTCGTGTGTCATTGATATATAGCTCTTGTTTAACAGAGGGTCAGCCTATTGAAGACTAATGTGTTAGTGACTAACCTGTCAGTGTCTTGGAAAAGGAATATCCTGCAAAGGCATCAGAACATTTGGAGACGGGTATAAAAAAACTGAGCACAGAGGTGGTGGTATAGCAACTTCAAAACAGCTTCCTTTTGTGGTCTTTCTATGAATATAAATTATCTATTCCTAAAGAATGCAGGAAGATGTATCCATGTTGTTATTTGCCATTAAACCAGTTTAGGAGCTGTTCTTTTGGTTCATTTTTTCCAATGTGTCCCACTCCTAACGTCTGTTCTGCTATTTTCTGTTGTGTGACATAATATAAGCTGCACCTTGATGTAAGCTAAGCTATTTGTAGAATTATTAGTAATAAGGATCTAATTTCTGTTTTATGTATTTGAAATTGATGCTGAGAACCTCGGAGCAGAAGAACTGCTTGGAGACTTTTCATCTTTAAGCAGGAAGGTATTTGGTTTATTGCAACGTTTGGAGCGAGGCAGTTCGCACTGCAGAAACTTGCTGGACCCAAAAGTGCAAAACAAGCTATTTTATACATTTTACATACACAGTTACACCTTCTAACATGCATATTACTAGCTAGGCGGAGTCCAGGTGGAGCTTTTGAGAATATTCTTTTGGTTCAAATTTTTGGTGTCTTCTCCTCGTGCTTTGGCCTCCTGGTGGTTGTCTTCATCAGCTGAACTTTTCAACTTTCTTTGTTAGGTGACCTAGATTCCTCAAGCTTGCAAAATCCTGGCTCTGGGCCTCCTATGTCTACTTTACTTCGAAAAGATTTATTACCTGGTGGTCTATTATATACTACTCCTTATCATTCTTTCTATAATGAGGCTTTGGTCCAGTGAGCAGGATAGAACAAGACATTAACCAGTGTTCCTACAGTGTTCTTTTAGCAAAACAGGCAGAACAAACATTTGGTAATGCCTTCTCCTGGCTCAGCAGGGCAAGGTGTTTTACCAACTAAGCCATCGTTACCTCCTTCTGTGCTTTTCTCTGCCATCAAAATATAAATATTTGTCCTGTCATAAGGCCTTAAGGTTAAAGATCATATGCCCTTTTCTGTTCTGCACCTCTAGACACATTTGGAACAAATGAATATGTCATTTGACACTAGATAGACAACTCTGAACTATAAACATCCTGTGTAACAAGTCTGATAATGCGGAGCAGGGAAAAAGCAGCTAGGGGCTTTGCTAGAAGGAATGGTCTTTTATCAGGCCATTGCAGGAGTAAAACACTACTCAGTTTTCCCTGTCCCTGAAAAACAAGAATCATGACTTCTTTCATTAAGTTAGACTAGGTCAAAGCGTGTGTCTGCCAGGTGATTGCATTACAGGCTTTACTTACCAGTCTTAGTTATTGCTGTGTGTATCCAGATCCCATTAAGTCTAGATGCCAGCTACAGTAGAGAGAAATACTGTGCAGTTTTAATTGCTGGTCTGAGTTTACTCATTGGGGAAGTTAGTGGAAAAATGTTGATTCTACAAAAGCAAAATGTTTTGTAGGATGGTAATGTTTTCTTTCAACACTTTGGATGGGATTTAAAAAGAGAAGTTGGCCTAGGGAATGTAATTCAGGTAGCTATGATCAGTAGATAACAGAACCTCCAAATGAAAGCATTCCATTGTTTCTGTGGACTCAGGTGTCTAAGCATGAGGGGACAGTGGGGAGTTACTCTTCCTTCCCCATTTCAACTCCCTCCGTTTCAGTTTTACTGTATGGTAATGCTTTTTAAACTTTTGGCATTTCCTAGAGAACAAACGTTACCTGTTACCTTTTTGGTTATCTCTGGATGTTGATTAGCTTCACTCTAGTTTATGTTCCTCATTTACCCAGGAACTTTGGAGTGATGATTGCTCTGAAAGTCAGTATGCTAGGGTGCTTAGAAGCTATTCCTGAACTCTTCCCGGACTTGCCTCTGGTGTTTCAATAAGCCTGTGATTGTAATTTAAAGTTGCAGGTTGGAACATTAATATTTTATGTATTCTAAGATACATTACAGTGCTTTAGGAATCTTAAAAAGACAGGGTTGCATGATTAATGTCCCTCTCTGATACTCTATATTGCAAAAGTGAACATTCTTCTGTATATTTGACCCAAAAAAGCATGATTTCAGGTGTTCCAGCTGGGCACTATTCCACATATAACTGGATAATATTGATCTTTGTTTTATTTTGCTTAAGTGAAGTTTTTAATGTTTTTTCCCAAAAAGCTCTGTTCCATCTAGAGTCTTGTAACATATTCTGAGTGAAATGATCCCTTTTTCTTGCATTCACACAGACAGAATTGTAGAATTTCAAATCCTGTCTTAAAGCATCGCCCAGCATTCTGTGATTCTAGTAGGCCTATTAATATTTATTTCTGCCTAGTCCTTCCTTTTTTGAATGAGTACTTAATCCCTGTGTGTCTTTGAGATTTGTTTTGCTATTTCTCCTGCATCAGTATCTCGTGATGGAAAATTTGTGTAAGTCATGTTTCAGTATTTGGCCAAGGGAAGAGATTGCTTGGGATAGGGAAGCAATTGAGCCCTAATACAAAAACTGCCCAGAGGGCAGGGTGTTTATGATGTGTAGAAAAAGCAGTATGTGTTGGCATTATTGTTAGTTCAAAATCTCTGTCCTTGTGTGTGTTGTTTCCTTCATGTTGATAAATCATTCTGATGAATAAATACGTGGGGTAGGAGGAGGCCTAAAATACTGCTATTAAAAGAAAAGGAATTTGCTATACTGATTTAAACTAATCGGTGTTTCTGAGTGTGAGAGGATTTCAATAAGCTGTGTGAGAACCTTCCTCCTAATCCTAGGGCAGCTTAATTTCTTGAAGAGCCATTGCTGGTGATGCTTTTTAAAATACTTTGTAAGGTTCACTATCCTCTATATATTAAATTTTCTGTGTATCCACTTGTTACTTTATTTAACTAATCTACTTTCTAGGACTATGAGCCTGTTGATCTCAGATTTCCTGGACCCTACTGTGACAGAAATTTTCTGCCTCAAGTGGCAGTTCTGTGATCAGATCTAGTTTTAAGCACAAAGATAAAAGGATTGAGCACAGGGTTACACAGCACAATTCTTATTAAAAGAGTACTACAGACTGAGACAGTGTACAAAATACTACACTGAAAATATCTCACTGTTTTTATCTGAGGTGAAAGAGAGGTGTCCCTTCCCTGGATCTAGCTGTCCCAACTAAAGATTTTAGTGCCTACTTAATGGAGTTGAGCTGGTGAAAAGGCTTTTCTTAAAGCTGGTGAATGTACTACCAGCAAACTCATTTGGTAAGTGGGGCTGGTGACTGCAGTGAAAGAGGCTAATCTTTGCCTGCAGGTGCTTGGGGAACACTTTCACAGAAGGATCAGCTGACTGACCCTGAAGGGCAACAGCTGGAACTGATAAGGTCTGAAGGCACCACAGCTGGATGCAGAAGATGACATTCCAAGGCTTGCTTTTTCTAATTCTAATATGTAGTACCTCTTTTTGACTGTACTGTAACTTTCTTCTATTTCAGATGCCTTCAGTGTTTGACAAAGAACCTTTCCAGATATGCTGCAGATATTAAGTCATTACCACCCAACATAAAGGATAAACTGATTAAATTAATGAGCAGGCAAGGGCAAATAACTGATTCAAATATCAGTGAGGTAAGAACCTATTCAAAACTATACTGTCTGTGATAGTTAATACACAAGGATGAGCTGGACTAAAAGTGTTTACATGAGATAAATTCAAAGCCTTCTTACTCTGTCCATGTCCTTACAGTTTTATTTCTTAAACTTCATGATGTTAATAGTCTTGTGTTAGTAGTAATAAGAGTATGTTTTAGTACAAAGTAAATTAGAAATATTCTCCCTTCAGTGATAATTGACTTTTATGTAATCAGCTGACATATGGTATCCCTTCTCAGTATGGGAAAGTAACCTGTATTGCACACCAATCTCTCTTCCTGAATGCAGTATGTTTCAAGAAGCTTGTGCATAATTTAGCAATGAAAGGACTTCAGGAACTTGTAAGAATCCTGTTAGGTTCTGTTGATGTCAAGCACACGATCCCCACATAGTTTATTTAAATTTTGATTCTTTGAAATATGATGATGCTAAGGCTAGAAACTGATAGTCCAAATTCTCTCGTCCGTTCTGCTTCCTGATGTGTGCCAGGGTTTCAAAATGAAACCAGTCAATGGCTTTCCTTCAGCTGTAAATTCAGGGGCACATCTGTTTCCTGTCTGTCTACTGTTATCTTACTCAGCCTCAGAGGGAGGTGTGAGAATTGAGGAAAGCTAAAGGTTGGCTTTGGTGAAGTAGAGAATGAATGACTCACTGTTCATTCCTGCTTTGACCTGTAACTCAGAAGAGGCAAGTATTATCAGTTTCTCAAGAGTCAGGATAGTGAAACCAAGACTAGAGGCAGAAGCAGAAGTACTGTGGAAAACCTACAAACAAAGAATTTTATCTAAAGATGTGCCATTTTTTTGATTACACAAAGTAAGACTTTGAGTGAAAATCAGAGTCTTATTAATTTATCTTCTTTTGGAAAATTTGACTGGAGAAAATCTGGTTTAGGCTATCTTTTCAGTAAGTAATCCTTTCAAAGCATCTTAAGAGGTGTATATAGTTAAAACCATATGATTGTGTGTGTATAAATGCACAAAGCCTATTAAGATATTTTTAAGCTGGAGAGTTTAATTTACAAATTTTTCCTCTGTCTCTTTGTAAGACCTCATCTGTCTTTGTCTTCATTCAGCAGTTGATCAGGGCCTTCTCTTAGAAACTATTTTCCATCTGACACTGGAATGCTCTGGTTCTTTTTTCGTGTGTTTTTCCTTCTCTCTATTCCTCCAGTGTCCTGCAATTCGATCCCTAGCTGTCATCAATTTTCTTGGGCATGTTATTCCTTAGCTTTCTTTGCTCGTAGTTTCCAGGTTTATCTTACTTGCATTTTTATCAAAATGTTAGCCACTCTTGGATTCTGAATTCCTGCTGCTGCTCTGTACCATTCTGCTCTTCAGTTTTCCCATTCTTTCATCTTGCAGATATTATTTTTGCTCAGCAGAGCAGAAATGGTTTATGTTGCTTGGCCTGTCTTACTATTCCTTGCTCACATAATATATAACCAAAGTGTATTTTACTTGTAACATATTTGCAGCATCTTGATTAGTTTTCCATGTGGATAAGGAATTTTTTTTTTGCTACTTCTTCTTTCTTGCCCTTTTCTTTCATAGTGTCCACAGTATTGTGGCTAGATCTATTCTCCTGGAATTTTCCAGGCTATGCTACATCATTTTAGACATGTCCTTCATGTCCTTTCTTTGGTTTTGGGGGTTTTTTAAGCTTTTTGATTAAAGCTAAATTTCTTTTAGTTGAAATTCTGTTAACCTGCACTTATGTATAAGCTTCTATTTAATCCCTTACCTCCCTATTCTTACTGAAATTTGTGTTATCATGCATCTTTTTCCCCCTTACTCTGCTTTTTGCTTGGAACAGCCTTCCATGATGTGCCAAACTCCTTATTCCAATTCACTTTTACCATAAAGTTCTATAAAGCCATTCAGGATGAGTCCACAGGGTATAAAACCTATACTTTAATGACCTGTATGCTGCATCCAAGCAATCCTTAATCTATCTAAAATTCCATCTTCTTTGAAACAGATTTTATTATATCTCTTCAGTGAATATGAATCTGTGAATGACAACAGAAAGGAAACCTCTAAGTGGTACCTGGGGGTGTGAAGATTCATGGCCTAGGGAAGCTTGATACTCTACCTTACGTAGGCAGTATTCTGATAGTATTGTTGCTTCCCATTTAGACTTCCTTTAGACTTCCTATCTAATAGTTCTTTTTCCTCATAAAAATTCTCATGTGGCATCAAAACCAGCAGTTTGGTGGCTTTTGGTGTGTCTTAGTTCAGAACTGTGAAAGAAAGCCAACAGTCAGGGAAAGCATCTTGGACAAATGCTGATGGTTGCTTTGGCTTTAAGCCCTATTTGGCTGCTTTAGTTCCTTAGATACGGATTCAGAAATATGAGTGAAATAAGAACTGAATGTTATCTTGTGAAAACCGCTCACAGGTGTCTTGTGGAGTATGTTGGCAGTTTTATGCCATAAAGAGATGTGTAAAGGCTTACAGCATCTGGGGGAAAAAAGCTGTCAAAGCTGTCTGAGGTCTGCCATTAATTTTGCTGAAAGGTTGCAGTTGGAATCTGCTAGAAGTTTTTGCTTATTTGACCTTGTTCATAAATATTTTAGCATCTTATATTTGTGAAACAGAAAACCAGTATTCCTTGTAATATCTTTATGGTACTGTGTTAGAGTGAACCTGAGGAAGGAACAGGCCTTTAACAAGCCTGTCAGCTATGCTGTTATCTTTGCTTGTGTATGGAAATTTATGCTTTTGTCCTTGGGAGTTAAGGAAGGGAATAACAAGCTGAAGGGAGTATATGGCTATCACTACTAAAATCTGAGGCCTTCCACTACTTTGGGTCTACCTTTTCATAAATGTCCTCTGGGGAAGATTTCACAAAACTCCTTCCTATGGCCTTGTGGGAGTGAAAGAACCTATTTAATGAGGATTTGGTACCTCCTCATGGTATGATAATGAGATTGGTTGTTTATGAGCAAAAGAGTGTGTCTGTAGGTGAGAAAAATACTCTAGGATAGCTTTCAAATATCACTCTTACCTGTTCAGGAGATTTAAGTTCTGTTGGTAATCAGTGTTTTCTTGCACTGCAGATTTCTACCACCAAAGTTGTGCTAGTAAATATGAGGGTATCGTCCTTGGTAAACATATCTGTGCTGGTAGAAGCACTAGTGGTAGCAATTGCACCATCAAGATGTTATTTCCACTTTTTAAATATTAGTATTAATGCTTTCCTACTCTGTATGTCACAGAACCTGAACATTAGTGCTATAGGACATGAACTATTGCAGCAAATAGACCATATTTTCCCTAGTGTTTTTAGTGCCTAAGACTGGTAACCCCATCCTCTAGTGAAAAGTTCTATGTGATGTCTTATATTACGAGTTTTTTAGATAAAAATGTGCATGTTTGATGGCATAGCAGAGTGTGACTGCAGTGGTAGGTTTTCGTTACAGGTACTGCACCCTGCTGTCGAGTCTCTAGACCTCCGAGACTGTGATATCTCAGATAATGCATTGCTGCAGCTTTATAACTGCAAGCAGCTGAAAAAAATCAACTTGAATTCTTGCAAGGAAAACAGATTTGGAATCACTTCAGAAGGTATGTTATCTGTGCACAGATAACTGGGATCTCACTTCTGCTTTGTTTTTCTTGTTAGATTGGAGTGAATTGCAAAAAATATCCAGGGTAAATAATACTTTAGAAAATCCCCAATGCCACAGCAATGCTAATTAAAAGTCTCTTCTTCAGTGTAAATTACAGGCCTAGAGCACTGATTAACTTATGAGAGAGCTATCAGGTTACTCTCATGCTAAGTTTCTGGTATAACTATGCCATGTGGATCATATTTTCTGCTTTATCCTAATTATTCCATCCTGAAAACTTGTCCCAGAGCCTTTGGACTCAGCATGGTGGTCATGTTTAAAAACATTGCTCTGTTTCTTTGGCAGGTGTCATAGCACTGGCCTTATCCTGCCCTTACCTGCGTGAAGCCTCTTTTAAAAGGTGCTGTGATATAACTGACAGTGGAATTCTTGCTCTGGCACTCAACTGCCAATTCCTACAAATAGTGAACTTGGGCAGCTGTTCAGGCATCATGGATGCATCTCTGCAGGCACTTGGGGAAAACTGCAAGTTTCTTCACAGCGTGGACTTTTCATCTACTCAGGTAACTCTGGTGGCAATTGGCCAATTGACTGTCGTGTGTTTATTTTTTAGGATTGTCGTGATAAAATTGAAAGGGGATCTTTTTAGCTCTATTCTTCACAAGATTTAGGATCACAGTTTCCTTCCTCTGAAGGGAAAGGAAAGGTATATTTTGCATCTTGGTAACTGGAAAAATATACATTTTGGTATTACAGCACGTATTGTGAACCAAAGATGAACTTTTGTGAGAATCTACTTCCTATTGGAGAGTTGTTTCCCCCCCTCCCCACTATCTTTATTTAACGCATTCATTTCCTTCAAGTTGTAAAGTAATCCAAAATATTTAATTTAAAGAAAGTGGAATCTTGGACAGATTATTGTCTGCTTTCAGTTAGGACAAACTAACATGAATAATAATAATAATAATAATATTGTCAAACAATGTAAACCTCTAGTAAAAGTAAACACTCCCTAATGAGTTCTAGTTCAAGAGTGACTGTGCTTTCTGAATAGCTTGTCAGAGTTATGTTATGGAGTCAACACCAAAAGAATGACATTTGAAATGTCAGAAATGGCAGGGAAGAGGATTTAAAAACAGTATTTAGCATGAGAAGAGGGAAATCAGCTGCAAAAGCAATATTGTAACATACAGTGAGATAACGAGCCAGGGAAAGGATTTTTTGCAGGAATTGCAGGTTCAGTTGAGGGTGATGTGAATAATTATGTTGCATGTGAGTCCAGTACTGAGCATTTGTAACAAAGTGTCAGATCTGGAAACACATATCAGGTTCTTATTTTAGATGATCATCTTTTTTCAGTTTTTCTAGAAATAGTTAAGTTTCTTTGTATGTGTTTGAAATGAGATGAAAGCTGCTTGAGTAACTAATTGTTTCCACATTTTTTTTTACCTTTCTTTTTTCCAACCCAAAAAACTTTCTTCAATTCCTTCGAGAACATCTACAGTCCTGAAAACAGGAGAAAAATTGGTCCAGGTAGAGCAGAAATGCTTTAAACCTTATAAATGAAAAGTGCTGTGTTCTGACCATAATAGTGTACCCACTGTTAAATGAGACAGGGAAGCTGCAGAAGTAGCACTTAACACAGCTGGAAACATCCCTGTAGAAAGCCAGGCAGGATCACATGGCAGGAAAATTAAACAGTATTTAAGAGAATGAAAAAAAACCCAAAACAACAACCAGACCCTTGGGTAATTTTCTCTACAAGCTTAGTTGGGAAGAAAATACTGTAAAGTTAAGTGTATTCATTGATTGCAGGGAGGCAATAAATTAATATAATTTTCCCACCCAGATAGATGTGTTGGAAAAAATTGAGTTTCAATCCATTGTGCTTTTTTCCAGGTAACAGATGATGGCGTTGTAGCACTAGTGAGTGGAACATGTTCAAAGAATTTAAAGGTAACTTATTTAACCTAATAACAAATGGATGAACAAAAACAAATACCCTCATTTTAAAATTATTGTTATCAGCATAACTTCTGAGTGATGGTTTTTTACTGGCAGATTTTTTTTGCCTTTGTTTATTAAACACTTGCCCTGATCTTGATTGTGAATTGAATATTTTCTGTATCTCTGTAGCAGTGCCCCAGACCAGGGGTTTTTGATAACCTCAGTCTTTTCAAAATTTTCCTTCTGTTGACTCTAACAAGCTTCTTTTAACTGACACTGTTTGAGAGATCTATATAATAAACGAAAATGAATGCTTAACTTTTACTCTTGATTTCTTTGGAGTTATTTCTTGATTCTGTTGAACACAGAGGCAGAATTTGTAATGTGGAAAATTTCATGAGTTGAAAAAATCAATTAGCACCTCTGCATGAGTAAATGTAACTCTTACACAGTCTCTGCAGCTTCAATAAGGCAAAAATTAACAGTTTTGTGTAGGATGACAATTTAAAAAAAAAAAGTTGTGTTCTCTCAGCATAAACTTCTAAAACAATTTCTGTTTTACTAGCAGTAAAAAAAAGAAATCTAGTAAAGAAGATGAAATTATTTGCTGCAATCTCTTCTTCTGTAATTATTTGTAATATCTTCTTCTGAAATTATTTGCTGCAATCTCTTCTCTTTTCCATGTGTGTGTCACAATCTTCATAACTTCTGTTTCATATCATCAAAGTGCAGATATATAGTCAGTGGTGTAGTGTCAGGTACACAGTAAAAAAAAGAAGAGTCATAAAATTCTTAAACTGTAAGAAGCAGGTAGATTTATAAATACTTTTACTTCATTAAGAGGCAAATTCCACATTTCACTTAATGAAACAAACAGAAAATTATACATGTATCAGCTCTTGTGTATATTGCTTCTCTGAGTACAGACCTTGTTTTATGTGTCATCATTCTGTACAAAGTTGCATTTATTACAAAAGGTCTCTTTCATTTCTCTGCTCTTTAAAGATCCTTAGAGTTTCTTATTGGAAAGCCTTTTTCCAATTTATTTTTTTTTTTTTTATTTTTTACCCCTGAATTCCCAAAGTATGTTTTACCAAGATTTTCACTAGATTTTATAGTTTCTTTTCTGCATTTCTTCTTGTATGTTATATTTAGTAATACGTAAGGCTATTTAGAGGACGAAAAAAAAGTTGTTAATAATCTGTAAATTTATTGTGATTTTCTTTTTCTAGCACAAACAAGAGGTAGTAGTTATAGAACTCCAGAGAAAGGTTTTAGTCTAGTCTTGAAGAAGCTTTTAGACTTCTTTTAGGAACCATGTAGATAGATATTAGAAACTTCAGCAGAGAGTGATGAGTCCTGCCTATTTTGGACAACACCAGAATTCAGTTTGGGTCCTGGACAACAACTGCTGTGAGAGTGTGTGTCATAGGAACAAACACCATGGAATGTCAATGAAGAGTTTTCTCAGTTGCCTTGAATGATATGTGCACATTGGGAAAACTCATGTTTAAGTTTTCAGTTTTGACTCTTCATAGGAAAGCTGTTTTATTTTTCTGAGGGTGTTTTCCTGGTCTGTACAGGACCACATATGGGGGGGGTCAGTGCATGGAGTGTGAGTGGGGATCTCTGAAACTGGTTGGGCAAAGGAAAGCTCTGCCTCTAAAGCTGTGGGTGCTCTGACAGGCTTTTGTTGCTGCTATTTTCATACCAGGAGATCCACATGGAGCGCTGTGTGAACCTGACTGACGTCGCCGTGGAAGCCGTCCTTAACTGTTGTCCCAAGATACACATTTTTCTGTTCCATGGATGCCCATTGATAACAGGTAGGTCAAATCATGCAGGGAGTGAGAAGAGAAATTTCTTGCTGATAGCACCTTCTTGCCCTATGGAAGAGCACACAATGCTTTGTAAATAATCCCAAACAAATAATAACTTAATGGATAAAATAATCATGTGCTGAGATTTTTCAAAGCATAGTGAGAGTTTTGCTTTGGAATATGGCAACCTTCAGAGCGGGATTTTTTTGGTTGTTGTTTTGAAAATTGGATTCTTTTTTTGTGTGTGTCCTTTTTTCCACCTTCAGCATCCTGATGAAGACTCAAAGACTGAAGAAAAATATTAGCATCTTAAATCTATTCCAAAAGCATGGAACAGCATCAATTCAAGAAACAGTGGAATGGAGTAGGATAGCCCATGGGTTTTTTAAGGCCTGTTGGTTGGTGATGCTTTACAGTTAGGTGATTGGAGAAAGAACCAGGTGCTTTTGGATTACTACAGGTGTATCTGAAGTGTGATATATTAAGAACAAAATAAGCATGAATGCTGGTGTATAATTGCATTACTTTGCTGTGTTGTGTGGCTAATCTCTGAACACCACCTGTATATGTTCTGAATCAATAACAAGAAATTCCTTTGTTCTTCTGCAGATCGTTCCCGAGATGTTTTAGAGGAGCTCATTATATCAAACAAAATCAAGCAGGTCACATGGACTGTTTACTGATTATTTGTCCCATACAAATGAGTGTCAAGTTTACAGATGGGAGAACCCTTTCAGCAAGCAAGCACCTTGGAGAGCCATCGGGGGACTTTTGCACCACCAGATTGTGAATCTCCTGGTTCCCACTGGAGGTCTCTGTTGCTATTCCAGTCCTTGCCTGTGAGTCTGGGCTTCCCCATTGTCTCTGCTTGGAGCCCTGTCTGTCTTTGCATCGCTGATGATACTTTGTTAAGAGGAAAGTTAAACTGTAATTAACACCACACTGAGCCATAGCTCAGCCTCCTCGAAGTGTCAGACTTGGCTGCTCCTTGGCGTCCTTCAGCAACTCAGCTACATGTACAGATCCACTTTAAGTAACTGAGTTTGTAGGCTTGGCAAGGTACTTTCAACTAAAAGTACCAAACGAAAACATAGCACTGACACTCACACAGAAGTGTCTGTAAAGTTGGGAGTTAAATCTGACAAAAGTCAACAGACAGAACAGGTGAATGGAGGTGGCATTAAGAGCATTACAAATATATTTTTAGTAGTAACAAACAATCTCCTTTCACCATGTACTTCTGCTAGATATGGAATGAAGAATGTAGGTACCTTTCTTCAGATGTTATTGATGCTGCTGATTTCTGTTTGTACTTACCATCAAATACTTGCTGGATTTTTACATATCCAAAGCTACGGTCTGTGAATGTGTAAACATAAACTTACTTTGGAATTGTTATGGTGACTTTACAAATTTCAGAGTAGTAGCTGTGACTAGTAAAAGAGTTTTGTATATGGGCAAATATTTAATTTGCTCTGGCTTTTGCCTATGTTTCTACATGAAAGTCCTTTTAGGGAACAAAACATTAAGCACTCATAAGCATAGCTGTGAGTGAAATAGGACCAAATTTTGTGGCTGAGTATATAAATCTCAGGATGGTGGAGTTCAGTAGAGTACGTGTTCTACTGTTTATTATATTAATTTATTATAATAATGCAGTTTATTATATATCCAGGGGCCCTCAGAAGCTGAAAATAACAATAAACGTGTTGTTTAATTATAGTCATATTAAAGAAAAAATTTTTGAATTGTAGAGTGAGTTTTTTATGTGATGGAGCAGTGGTCTCATCACAGTTATAAGTCATGTTCATTGGCTTTCTTGAACCAGCATAATCTGTTGTGAGAATTCTATGTTTTCTGCATTAAACTTCCTAAAATGCTAGCAATTTTAGCATTGTACGGGGCATGGAGCACACTAGGTTGACACTCTGTATGTCGAAGTAGAAGGATTTAGCTAGGGTGGTCTTACATGGATCTGAGGACATTTGGAAACTTAAGAGTTTAGGCAACTATAATGAACATGTTTACAATTTAACACCTGTCATAGCCACACTTATTTTAAGTGTTGCAGAAATAAACCAGTCTTCTACTTATCTATTCAAAGTTCAAGTCAAATTGCATGGAAGATACATCTTGCAGCCAATATTAAAGGATGTCTGACAATGATCTCGTTCTTGTGTTGATTATATGGTTCATAAAAGAGCAAATCTATTTAGAAAAGTTGTTCAAGTGTAACTAAAAGCATAATTTTCCACCTCCAGTGCCTAAATCCCTTACTCTTGTTGCATGGAGTACCATGGCTCAGCCCAGAGATGAGTGTGTTCCTGTGATCCCTGTAGGTACAGCTGCACCAGCACAAACCATTCTTGCAAGCAGGAGTTGATTTTGCTACATTAGCCACAAGCATCTGAAAGCTGTAACTGCAGCAGATCCTTGCACTGGATAGATTAATAACCTAATCTACCAAGTTTTATTTCTTTTTTTTTGGTTAAGTTTATTTGTAATACCCTGTAGAGTCCCTAGTATCAATCAGGGCCCATCGGTCCTTTGAACTCTTGGACCTGAGTTGGCAATAAATTTGTTTTGCACTATTTTTGATATTGATCCATCTAGCTGATTAGGCAGCAGCAATGACAGGCTCAGTAATTGTGTCAAATGGGTAAAGCATTCCTGATTTCAGGAAGGTTGCCACAAAGAGACTAAGTAGAATTGAAAGTTAACTGAAGAAGGCAGGAGCCTTGGGGAGTTTCAAGTATAACTTCCTGCCCAAAGTAGGGCCAGCTCAAAGCTCAGACCAGCTTAGTCCATGCTTTATCCAGATAAGTCTTGAAAAACTGAACATACGGAGCCCTTCACAACTTTTTGAGGCAACTTGTTCCACTGCTTGCCTGCATTAATGATGGAAATTTTTTTCCTTCTATCCTGGTTGGCCCTGTTTTGTGTCAACACCCTTCCTCTCGCTGGTAGAGCCTGGCTGTCATCCTGATGGCCTCCTCATCCGTGTGGTCCCGCTGCTCACAGCAGTTCCTTGAAGCCCTGTCTTTTCCAAGCTGAAGGAGCCCAGTTCTCTCCCTCTGTTGCTGTCGTGTAACAATACATGTTACATTACAAGGGTGGTGGTCACCAGACTCCCAAGTGCTACATCCAGAAAGAAAGTTACAAATGAAGATTATGTAAAGCAGCTAGAGGTGGAAGACCACCAAAATCCGTAATAGCAAAGGACACTTAAAAAAATTGTCTGTGGGACAATACTAACAATACTAACTTCACTGGCCAAGTTGTCCTTTTCCTCCTTGCTAATGTAACCTTGGATTTGTCATGTTGAAGGCAAATGCAGCCTATAATGTGTCCTTAAATGTGCATGTAGATTTGCCATCTTCCCTACAGCCTTTTCTAAATGTGTAACTTGGTATATCCTCACCTTGTGCTTAAAAAATCTGTACAAAGGGCAATGAGTTAACACTGCATTTTTAGGTTTGAAAGTCTAATGTAAGTCCCTTTAAATCCTTCCCCATTAGAGCTTGACTCTGCTTTCACATGTTTATACTTGCATAACTCTACTGGAATATTTTTTGATTCAGGTTAAATTGCAGTAATTTTCAACAAATGTTGGCAAGCACTGGGTGAAGTGGGAGAAGAACATCATGTATGCGCTTACCACTTCATATTTCTGTATTGTTTGGACGTTGTTACTGTTGTAAACTGTTGGGTGAGCACTGCAGAATATTGTTCAGAAGATTAAAGTTTTGAAGACATCTGTTTGGATACTTCTGGAAACTTGTTAAATTACGTAAGCATGTACATCTGACAGTGCTCCTAAGCCTCCTGCTTCATAAATACCATGGTTTTCTGAGTGAGTAGCACTGCTCTGAAAACGGTGGTGGTTTCTTCAAATGGCTGCATTTAAAGCTGTGCATCAATATTTTTTTTTGTCCCTGCAGACAGTTCTTTCTTGACGGATATAACTGAGAATAACTCTGGAGCTTTTGTCCAGCATCTCCTCAAGAGAAGAGCAAAATAATTATATCAGGCTTTTATTCCCTGTTTTTATTTAGTTACCTTCTGCTTGTCACACAAGGAAAGATTTCTTCATCCCTCCACAGCTTCCCAAGGTGACAGATTGCCTGGTTTACCCTTGCAAAGTTCAGGTATGTAGGTAATTTGACCCTACTCTCTAGATGATCAAGTTACCCCATAGCTCATACTATTTAGGCACTTTCCACTTACTAAGAACTACATTGGCTACCAGTCAAGCTATTTTAGGTTTGTGTGCAACTCCCACATAATCACTCTGGCAGTTTCAAGGAAGAGTAAGCTTTTATTATAGAGGAAAAAGGGAAATTCAAATTAGTTACTCTGACATTCAGAAGAGATATCCAGAAAAGGAGCAAGGCACTTTAAGTTGAGCATATTAAGAGCTAATAATCTCTTATGAACTAGAATTTTATGAAGGACACTGACACTTTTCTCTGTAAATAAGCTGCAGAAGTCTGTGAAAGCAGTGCAGTAGTCTGTCAGCCATGGCCCTCTCCCCACAGCAGCGTACTGGACATCCAAAACGTTTCACAGTACTGTTAGAGAGCATGACACAAATATACATGAAAAACACCGAGCATGCAAACTCTTATGTGTGATTTGCCTGTGGGTCTGCACTTCAGTGCAGGCCCCTCTGAATACAGTTTGCATGTAGCTTTTACCTCAAATGGAGCAAAAGCCTCAGTGAGTATGACTGAAACCAGTTCAGTGAAGATACAGGAATCTGCTTTACATCAACAGATAATGTACTGTGTTTAATTCCCATTTTCTTTTTACTTGCTAAAAAGCCAACCAAGCAAGACAAAATTCCTTAGAAAGCCAATTTCAACAGTCTTCTGAGCCATTTGAGGGCTGATAACTCCAGACAATACTTGATGTTAATCCATAGTTTTCTTGTCTAGTATACTCAGGAAGTGAATATTCTATAACTTTGTGCAACTGACTGTGAATGCTGTGGCTTAAAAACTGATGCCTGCCAGGGTCACCAATCAGCACTTCAGTTTGCTGTATCCTGATGCACTTCCTCAGCCAGTGATGCAGACCATCAGCCAGTTGTTCATCATAAAACATATCTCCTAAAACAATGAGGTCCCAGTTGCCAGCCTCTGAATTAATGATGTTCTTAATGGTGATGGGGAAGGGATTCAGGTGGTTCAGTTCACAGTTCAAGATCATTGCCACTCCTGCAACTGAAGAAAAGTCAAAACAAAATGAAAATTACATTTAAGGATTCTGCCACTCAGCCCCCTTACAAATTTCCTTGACAGGTTTCAATTTTATACCTTAAATATTTTTTAAGAGAATAGAGACTTCTACAGTTTTCATGATGGGATAAAATCTGGTATAGAGTGATGAAATTTTATTCCCATTACACTATGACACAGGGAAGAACTATTCCTGGAATGGATGCCAGTGGAAAACAATCATGGAATTGAACTAGGATATCTAACTGCCTTAATCTATGGATATACTTCTTCCCTAAACAACCATTAATTAAATTATGAATAAACTGAATTCATAAATCAATTATGGAAATGTCTGGAGGGAAAAGGCAAAATCTAGGTCCTAACATCAAAGTACAGGAAAATGCTACGGTCCTACAGAGAACCCAACTTGCTGTTTGCACTTGGAATTCTCTACCAAAGCAGCCACGATGGTGTATAGGCAGTACTTGACAGAAACTTTGCTGTTTGTTCATTCTAAGGTATTATGGAGATACACTTGGTCCAAGAGAGGCTGGTACCACCCAGCTTCTAATACTGGCAAAATCCATTCCTCTTTTTAGCATTCTTAGAACTCTGTTTAGAATTTGAGTTTCTCCCAAATGGAGCAAAGAAAAGTCTGTGTTAAAGGTGGTTTAAAAACTAATAAGTATCTTTGCACAGAGATGAAAAAAGTCCTTACTAGGGTCGATGTCATTAGCGAGGACGTGGGATGCCCCACTCATCACAGCAGCTATTGCTGTTGCTCCACATCCACTTCCAAGATCCAAAACTGATCGCCCCTTAACGACACGGGGATTATCTAAAATATACCTGAAAAAGAAAAACTGTTAAAGCAGTGAAGAAGATGATGCAAATGTCTCAAGTTTGTGTTCCACTAAGAGTTCTTATACATGTAATGAAGCGTGATACCTTAGTAACACTGTCCTACATGTGCAGCTGGTACACAGCTCCTTATTCGTCTCTGCTGATGTGAAAATCAAGAAAATCTTTCTTCCTTCCTTGTTCCCCACACCCCCAAAACAAAAAGAAATCTAGCCAAGTAAGCAACATTTTATTTCAATCAGCTCCTTCTCTGACAGGTGAGCTTCTCTGTTAAATAGACACAAACTGTAAGGTGACTACAATGAATCAGAATATATCAGAAATAGGAAAGTAAGGATTTGTAGAAATTAAGAGCAATCTGCCTGAAGAAACATGATGTATTCACAGTGAATATTGTGCCTACCCATCGCCCTGAAGTGCTGCTTATGCAACTGCTTGGAAGAAGAAGAATTTCTCCTCTTTCTTTTCCTGAGCTGTGCAGACACAGATGCAAATACTTCGAGACTGCTTAGTGTTGTTCCTGAGTAGCACCAAGAAAAAGGATAGAGCTGTGGTGAGCAGAAGGAGTATCTTCATCTAATTGCTGACACATGCCAAGAGGAATTGCGTAAAACCTCTAGGCTGGAAGTGGGGAATTGACAGAATGCAAGCAGCAGTTCTTGTTAAACACTGTGAATCATATTAAAGCCATTACAGAGGATTCAGAACTTTAACAACTGCCTTGAAATTCAATTGGCTGCAAAGCCCAAGGCCCTCAGTGTCAGGGAGAAGAGCCCTGGGTGAAATGAATTACTGCAAAGCTACCATAAATTTACTACCAATTTCCATAACTTCTGTTAAAGCAGAAAGTGGAAAGGATTGTACATTTGTGTTATATTCTGGCAGGGAGAGTGATGGCTGGCTTTTCACACAGGGCTACTGGTGAGCACAGCTTTTGCAGGGGTATTCCAATGCAGAGAACTGTAATGGAAATGTTAAGACTGGTGTAAATAGGGAATGGATGAATGGAAATGTCTGGGCCTGGTAGCACCAGCAGGAATGGCACAAAGAGGCCTAATAAGAGTGTCAAGTGCAAGACACTTGTGTAGAAGCTCAGCAGCTCAGCTGTTTGGCAATATTCCACTGAGGACATCACTTACAGAATCATAGAATATGCTGAGTTGGAAGGGACCCACAAGGATCATTGAGTCCAACCCTTAGCCCTGCAGAGGATCATCCCCAAGAGTCACACTATGTGCCCAAGAGTGTTGTCCAAACACTTTCTTGGATTCTGTCAGGCTTGGTGCTGTGACCACTTCCCTGGGGAGCCTGTTCCAGCACCCAACCACCCTCTGGGTGATGAATCTCTAATATCCAACCTAAACCTCCCCGACACAATTTCAGGCCATTCCCTCAGGTCCTGTCACTGAGGACAGCCCCAAGTTTACCAACAGGGCTTGGTTTACCAACCAAGGGTGGAGGGCTGGGGTGAGATTTCCACAGAAGTGCTCTGTTTATCCTTTTTAGCACCTCTTCTTGGATTTGCTATGTCTTTCCACCAGTAATTTGTGTAAAGCATGATCCTGCCTAATGCTGCAAATGCCTTGTTTCCATCTGAGTGGTTATTGAGTTACTGCTGATGACTGTGGTGACTGAGGACAGCTGGACCCGGCTGTATCCCCTGGCACGCACTCAGTGCATCGAGCTGCTGTTGGAGACTGCTGTCTGCCCTCCTGGGCTAACGAGGTATCTCAGCTTACACCAAGAGGAATGGCTTGAAATAGGAGATTCCTGATGTTTTGTGGAAATGCCAGCTGTGAAAGGAGCACAGTTATCTAACACGTATGTTTTCATGCTTCCTTTTCACTCTTCCAGATTATGCAGCTAATTTCTGACATTCCTTATACATTAAACAAGTACTTAAATAGTGAGACAATAAAGTAGTGAACTGCCAGATAACTGCTACCCAAATATATGGCATATGAATCATATGATAACAAAATACAGAGATTAATTCATCTAATTTATTTACCCAATGTTCAGGAGCACTCTAGTTAATCTACATGGCTAAGGAACTCACAGTTTAACAGTGAGACTCATCTTTTCCCTGGACAAAACCATCTTCTTATTTAGGCTTTCTTGCAGAAAAACAGTAGAGCCTCAATTCAGATCCTTCCCTTTCATCTCTGCGGGGACTGTCTGACAGCTTGTTCTTTGCTGTAAAAATTAAGAACTTTTCCTGGTGTTCAAAGTGAGAGATTTGATTTTACAGAATAAAAGAACTCCCAGCTAATTCCTGGGAATCAGGAGCATTAAAGACATTTTGACAGTCAGTAGCCAAAACCAAAATGTAGCTTCTGATGTGACTAAAAGACACCCACAGTAAGGCTTGACAACAAGGCTGCTGAAATCCTAGATGAGGAGAGTGATTCAGGCTAACCAGCAGTCCAAGTGCAGCAGCATAAACCTACTCTTCTCACCAGACCAGACGCACGTCCACGCTCCCGTCTGTCTCCTGCAGAACCCCCCCCACACGTTATGACAAAATACAGTCCTCCTGTTTGGAGCGACAATGAGTGACAGAATTAAACAGCATTAAATCTCACTAGGTTGTGATGGCAACTGCACTGCCCTTCCACGGATCCAAATTCAGCCCCATTGTCAGCCACAGCATACCACAGGTTTCTGCTTAAGGGATGTAAGTTATTGTGTATAGCAGCTGCTGGAACATCACTGCCAACCAGCA